AGCTTATAACTTCTTAATTTATCAACTTTGCCGTTAGTTCCCTGTACGAAAAAATTTCGAGCAGTTCCTTGCAGGTTTGGGCAGTAGTCGTCCATGTATGAACATGGTGCCCGTAATGCACGTGTCAGGCTTTTTCGCGGCAAACAGGCGTGATATTCGTGTTCAGGAGATCAAACTACCCTTGGAGATAAGTTTCCTACCGAATCTGAGATTTTGACCCAACCCTAAAAAATGAGGTGAGTCAACCATCATATCATCAACCTATCGTTGAACTCTTGGCATGGAAATTGCCCTTCCAACCAAGATTTTGAAAAGAGAAACGTTCAACGGCTCACATTCCCGCATAACGGAAATGATTTACATGACTCTGCATCAAAATTCAGGGAAGGTGCTTTTCCAGTTAGTTTTCGATTCATACCTTCTCTCGTTTGACTGTATGTTGACTGCCCTTTCTCGAGTGTAGGTCAAAATCTCAGATTCAGCTGGAAACTTGTAACCAGGGAAAATTCGGTCTCCTGAACACGAATATCATACTCGTTTACCGCAAAAACACCTTATCAGTGGGCTATGAGCGTCGTTTTCAGTCATGGCAAATATTAATTAAAAATAGCTCTCAACCTGCGCAGGGGTGCTCGCTAACTCCTTACACAGGCAGGTAAAGGCAGGCATTGAGGAGATACTGTCGCTAAAAGCCTTTCTGGTCATGTTTTCAAAAAGGCAAAACAACAAACACCACGAGAGACCTCCTCGCCTACAAGCCTGGAGCGTTACCACTTACGCCACGTCAACCACGACGTGCTCCTTCCCGCTTGGCTTATAGTGGCGACTCCAATGATAGCGCTCATATACTGCGTTTAAGTACAGTGTTGAGGGGAAAACTTCCGTAACTCCGTTCAGAGCACCGTTTAGCAGATAAGAAAAGCGGTTTCTAGCTTATCGTCTCAAGACGAATGCGTAGGTATACACCTCATTGCAAATGGCCGGACCGGCCTGGTGACCTTTCCTCGTGAGAAGGAAAGCTTTTGATCAGCATTGTTCCGAAGCCAGGGTGAATATCGGTCGAGGATTCCTCAACGGCACGTCGAGGATTTTCGCCTGATCAGTCACGCTCTCCCGCGCGGACATTCACACTCGCCATGCGCGAGCCGTCTGTGCTCTCCGCGCGTACATTCATGATCGAGAAATTCTCGGCCGTTATTCACCCTGTCCAAAGCGGGAGGTTGATCTCAAATGGAAGGAGCTGCAGCGTTTTCAGCATTCCCTAATCTTTGAGAATTAATCAGAAAATGGGCATTGTTTCGGATTAAGGTTTGAGGCCCTGTAGTTGGCCATGATCGGCCTCAAATAACCACGGCCACACAGGTCCGAGATTGAATATCGCTTGGAATCTCGCTTGGGTCAACCCCTATCCATTCAGGCAGCCAGTTGACACCAGACTTGTCTGGTGAGGACCAAACAGGATACGTTCAGTTCTCCTGAGGTCAGATCCCCAGAGTTTCACGATGATAAAGCCTAAGGTTGAGCTTGGGTTTAGGCTCAGGCTCACGTTTATGCTTACACATTGGCTTATGCTTGAGCCTGCGATTCGGCCTAGGCTTAGTCCTACCCCTGCTTCGAGCAAATAAGTGGTGTTTCAATTTTACGTGACCTGACCTGAGGAGGAGAACTGCAGCGCACCCGGACAAAGCACTGATTTGAACATGTCTGGCCCTGCAAGCTACATATTTTGTAAGCCATACCTCATTCATCTGAATCGCCACTATCTGAATGAAGTTGTGTAGACGGCGTGGCGCATCCCAAAATTGATCAAAGCAAAAAACGTTTACGTTTCATGTGAGAATGCTTACTTACTCATGGTTAGCTTCTTCCAGAAGCGTTGAGGTGCTTGAAGGTGTGTCCAATTGAACATCTTGATGGGTGAAGCCGTGGTTTGGCTGTGTTGAGCTGAGTTCTAAGCAAACTGCGAGATTGCTTCAAAGCTGTGCTCTTCCCTCTCCTGAATTAGCAGTCTGTTGCAGTACCTGTAGCAACTGGATAAATCAGCTCATCTGCTTTCTAGCTTTCATGCTTACATGGATCATCCATCGGCTTGCATGTCTTGCTCGGTTATGCACTTCTCGACCCTCTGATGAGAAAGATGAACTTCTTTATTGAACTTTCACCGCTTTCTGATCATATGATACATAAAATTGAAGGTTATGGGGTTCCACAGAACAGAAGGCTGTTGTAGGAATGTCATGTGATGAGGATATCGGTATGATGGATGTGAAGGTCTTGTGTTTCTTATGTCACTCCTGTGGACTGGTTCTTTTTGTTCCAGAATTAACATCTCGCAAAGCAAACGGTGTGCACATTGGTCCTTTGTTTCGAGCGATCGTGTAGATGTCCCTCAGATTCAGCGATTAAACCGAGTGATGGGCCGAACCGCCTCGGGCCGTTCACTTTGGCAGCAGGGCCCGTTGTGCTCTTCAGTCAACATCGGGGATCGATCAGCGGCAGGAGCAACGCCTGTCGCCTTGCCCACTTTTTGCAGATGGCAACTCGCTCGAAGCACAATTCGCCGAGTTCTGAAGGACATTGTAGCGCTTTCTTTTGCTGCGCGGCACACGCGACCACCAAATTGCGCGGCACTCAGTTTGAGGGTGCAACACCCCTCCCTTTACCCCCAGTCTAGTCGAGGCACGCGCTACTCGTGGTGACTGCGTCTACGCGCACGGTTCGCAGCATCGTTCAGCGCGCGGGCGCGCTACTGCAGACCCTTCACTTACTTTGGATCAAATTCCAAGCGAACCCATATTGTTCGAATAACTCCCTAAAACTGCCTCTGTTCGTGTGTGTTTCTACGTGTGTAGGTTTTCTTACTTCTATCGTAGCTATGTGTGTGTGTGGTCGTCCTTGATTCCGAACAGACAGTGGTGGACGTTTTCCGTTTTCCGAAACGAGGCGTCGGCTATCACCTGAATGTGACCCATATCCCGTCCGATTTCAGCTGCCAACACATCGTTCAACCCACCGGAACCACCGAAAGACCACTGGGGTCTGAACACTCCTCTACCGGTGTTCCCTGTCAAGTATACGTTGCGAAGACATGAAGGCGTTGTGGGTTTCTGATCCGTTGGCTAGAGCACCTTCATTTTTTAGAGAAATCTAAGAAGTTCTCGGTTGCAGATAGAAGTATGTGGTGACGATGGCAAACTGAAACCCGACTTCGCCAAGTACTACATATCGAAGGAACAGTTCTTGTCCGATACTGAACGCCTCACGCAGATGATTGTTGATGGTCCGCTGTAAGTCATTGTTTTGTTGAGGAACTTTATTCATTTCTGACCCATACGTAGTGTGTGTGACATTCAAAATAGTGTCGATTTTTGCGTCTTCAGGAGGACCCTTTTTGAGTAGGTGCAATAGAGGCCTAAAGTCCTATCCGAAATGGTTTCTCATTCCCTGCACTTTTTTCCTTCTGTTAATGTAAAATGTAAAATGTTCCTGAATCCTAATGGTTCAGGGCGGAGTCTGCAATGAAAAGGCAGTCCATTAGAAACCAAGGTAGTGCTGGATGGAGAAAAACCATGAGTAATGACCCAGAATTCCAGAAATGGTATTCGCTTGCCCGTTGATTTTCCGCACAATGCGATCTCTCACGGTGCTGCCCTCAATTAAGGATGCTCTCTCTGCAGTTCGCGCTAGAGATCAGACGTCGAGAGTGTGGTGGGCAGTGGCGCGGTATAGAGACCCGGGAGTATACCCACCGCGGTCAAACGCGTATTCGTTTTCGCACCCTCAGAGAACCACCCCCCCCCTCCCCCCCCCCCCCCCCCCCCCCCCCCCCCCCCTCCCCCCCCCTCCCCCCCCCCTGGAGGTCCCTAGGACTCGTTTCTCCTTCTCTCGACCTTATCGTGGAATCCACCTTTCAAGCTACTTGAACACGGCCTCAGAGGTGGTGGTACGATATTTTGAAATGATTCGTCGTGGCAAGTCTATGGGAACGACTAGGAAACGCACCAATATGGTGGGTAAGAATCCAACACATTCTTAAATGGAGTATCCCACGAAGGTTGAAGATAGAAGAGTGGGAAATATTATTCCAGTCGAAGCAGGTCCCCCCCTCCTAAGGCGTGCAGCCGGTGCGCGTTCATATCGCAGAGAAGTGCACTATTACCTTGATTTGTAAAGGGCGCCTTCCCATAGTGACTTTGCCTCTAAACGATACAAAAATGTTGAGAGATGGGCAATATCAAAAACATGAAGCGAACTGATGGAAAGGGTAGACGTGATGCCAGCAGAAAACCGTGGCAAATATTTTTGAACGCTGCTGTACCTAATTTCCGCGGTCTGTGTGGTGTGGAAACAATCAGTACCCAACCATATAAATTGTATAGGAGCGAGTTTTGTTTTCAGAAAATCGTTCTGTTTTCGTCGTCTCTCATATCTCCAGAACAAGTTCCAGTTGCACGTGCTTTTGAACGAACTGCGCGAGCTTCATGAGCAGAAAAGCCGTTTCCCATAGGGATTTCTACAATATCAGAAAGGTGGATTTTTCGAAATTAGTAGAGTTAGCTGCAGTTTCAAATGGTTCAGCTTTAGGTCGATACTCACATTCACGCCGCATCATCGATGAACCAGAAGCACTTGCTTCGATTCATTAAGAAGAAGATCCGAACTGAGGCCAATACCGTGGTACTGGAGAAGGTCCTGGTCCCATCTTCAACTGCTTCAGATTCAGAAGTTTGCCGTTTTCAACTCATCCACTATTTGTGTACATAGCAGCGCTCAAAACTCGAATGTTAGTGCTAGCCTTAGTGATCTCGAGCTGTGTGTGTGTAGGGAGGGGAGGCCTTCGGGAAAATTAAGGGTAAAAACAGGGGGAGGGGGATGTGCGGTAAGCGCCGGGCAACGACACCGTTCAAGAACCCGTAACTCATCACTTTCCAGATTTTCGTCCACCAATCCAGCTGTCGCTGCGAAATTTCTAACTCGCCTTTCCATTTGATCATTCTGCGAAGGGTGCAAACATTATCCATGCCATATCATCTGTATAGTTCAAATGGATCTTTTTAGAACAACAAGCCAGTCACCATGAAGGAAGTGTTCAAGAAAATGGGAATCGACGCCTACGATCTCTCCGTAGACATGTTGGATGTGCATGCAGACAGGAACTACTTTCCATCGCTTCGACAAATTCAATACGAAGTATTTCATATGCGTTTTGTTATGAATTATTTGATTCCTGTAATCCGTAGGGTGAGATTGTGGCCAATTTGGTTAGATAGTAAGCTTATCCCTGCAAGGTCAATTGTGAGGGTTGGGCGAACTCGACTTATCAGAAACTCCACCGATGTTGCATGGCATATTTACGTTCAGAGGTGTGGACCGCAGGTGAGGGAAAAACGTAAGAAAGACGTAGTTACGAGAGAATGATGTTTCTCAACTTTGAGCGGTGGACGAATTTATGAGTTTCTCTACGAAACAGAGTTTGAGTTGTGTTGGGCCCTGAGACGACAAAAACACGACTACTGGTAAGCATAACGTAGAGCTAGATGCAGTCACCGCAATAAGAGGAAGCTGGGGAGGAGGGGGGTACGAAACGCTATCGAATGTGCTGTCTCCCGATTTATGGCAGACCCCCAAAATTTTGGTTGCCTTTCTGTTCATTCAGTATTATTTTTATGTTTACTAATTCGAACTGTTCTAGGTACAATCCAGTTGGCGAGTCGACATTGCGCGAGATTTTCATCAAGACCGACAACTATGTGGGTGGAAAGTATTTCGCTGAGGTGCTTATGGTAAGTGTCTCTACCGTAATCGTTAGGCTGGAATATAGCCAATGAAATGACCTTCATCTCATTCCATTTCAGGAGGTTCTTTCGGACCTGGAAGACTCAAAGTACCAGCATGCTGAACCTCGACTGTCTATATACGGAAGAAGCAAGGTTGTTGCTCCCTTCACTTGTTTGGTTTTTTGCATCCAAGGTGCGCGTTAGACAATGTGGAGCAAAAACTGTAACGAAACTCGTTCAATCAATCACTAGATAAACCAGAATTTAACATTTGTGAACCATTCCCCCCCCCCCCCTGCATCTACTACAAAAGAAAGCAAAATGTAATTTAAGAAGACCTTTCATGTCGCTCACTCGCACTCCAGCGAATTTTACTGGGACGTTTCTATTGTTTACCATTAGCGCTTAGCCATACACCGGCAAGGTTACCTTTTCCAAACTTCTCTGGTACTGGTTGACTAACTATCCTTCCGAGGAAGCGGCTTCCGGTTCGAGAATAGGGAAATTGTTGGCGTAGAGAAATTTGGGAGTTACTGAAGTATTTTGGGTGGCTATCACTTAAATTACTACGTTTTAGGCGAATGGGATAAACTCGCTAAATGGGCGATCACTCATGATGTATGGAGTCCGAATGTGAGATGGCTCATTCAAATTCCTCGCCTTTAGTAAGTTGAATTTCATCTTATTTTTACACCTTTTTTATTTTTCTTTTTTGTTAGGAGTTCATGCCAAAGTGCGCTAAAATATCGCCAATATTTTAGTGATATCTACAAGTCTAAAAACATGGTGAGACTTTGACGAGCTTCTCGTAATGGGTGTGGTCACTCCAAACTTTTGAGGTTAGCTGTGCGGACTCACTGCTTCTGGAACTCATCAATTGAAAAGATTTCCGAAAAATGTTTAATTTCGTCGATGTTCACGATGAGAAGTTTTCCAGCATTGAAAGCGGAGGGCGGAAAGGGAGGGAGGGGGCAGGGGGTCAACGCTAGTGCTGGCGCCTACGTGAGTCGAAGATGAGCTAAAAATTGCTCTCGTTGTTCAAATTTTCCTCGCGCTCAGGCATATTAGTCTGAGGCACCCTTGCCGTCTTCCGTGCTGTGTTAGTTCTCACGGCTTGGTATCACTTACTTTTAAAAAGGTTACCTGCTCATAACTGTAAGATATATAAATATGAAAAGTGAATGACATCAAATATGCCTTGGCTGCATGGGGCGTGTCCCAATGTCATTAAAAGAAGAAAAGAAAATTTTATTGAGAGGAATTTATTATAACAAAGTAAATTGTGGTTCGTTTCCATGTAGAACATTTTCTTCATGACAGTGCTTAATTCACAAAGCACTCTCATGAAGTTCCCAGCGTTGTTACCGGCAAAACTATTTTTGAGATCGCCGATGACGACCACAGAACCATGAGAAAGGTAGGTAGGTATATACCTTCCTTCTAGAACTTCTGCGACCATCTATAATCGAATGCTTTGAGCAAATCCCCGTCGTGGCTGATAACGATGCACGAGTGACAAAGACCTTGCCTAGGGTTGATTAAATCGTCTCGTTGTCAGTCGCAAAGGTCATACTCACGAACGGTTCCCCAACCCCTCCCCCCATGAATGTTGTTTGATTTAGAAAATTGTTTTGGGGGATAAAAAATTACCCCCTAGTCGATTTTGCAGGCCACAAATGACCCGTCGTCACATCCAGATCTCTATCGATTCCTTCAGCAAGTCTCCGGTATAGATTCAGTCGATGACGAAAGCAAGCATGAATTTGTTCATGCTGAGATCTGGCCATAGCATAACACCTCGTGCAAAAACTATCTTTGTTGCCAGTTTTCTGCAATAATTTCTTCGCATCACTTCAGTTTGCGATCACACCCAAGTCCCGAAACTATAACAGGATGCAGAAATCTCCATATAATTTATTATTCTGTTCTATTTGTATGCCAATCTTACAGGCATTGAATTGCTTTTCAGAAGAGTAAGTCATTATACGTTTAGAAGGTAAGAAAGTTCTACTTTGATATTCTCTTGTCAAAACGAACTAGTATTAGCAGCCGAGCTCTTGACTTCTTTCTCCTCACAAAAGGAAACTGATTGAGATGTGAGCGTTCGACAGCAACGTGAAACTACGCAAGCTTACCCAGGAAAAGGTCATTAGGTGAACACGGCCACGTGAAATGAGGTTTACAGGTCTACAGGTCCACGCTGAGCTAACAGTTTTTTTAGGCATGTTTTCATGAGAAGCAAAGAGCGTAAGGAGTCCTGCCCGTGACCCCCGACCACTAGAGGGGCACTTTTCAACTTTTAACGAAGTTCAGAGAATTGCTCAGCAGATAATGTTCGAGTTCAACGTCTCAAGGCCCGTACGGTAATGTAAACCTCGTTCTAAATAGCGGAGTTGACCTAAACGACCTTCCCTGGTTTATCAGGGCTCTGGTAGCGCAGTCGTAAGTGAAGCCGAAGCGTTGTACATACCTACTGAACGTTCCGTGAAGTCGGATTCTTCCCACTTCAAGCTTGCTTCTTCAGGGATTGCTTAAAGGAATCTTCCACGGAAAAAGCTCCGCCCTCATTACCACAGAAAACGATACCTTAAAGGAATCTTCCACGGAAAGAGTGATCATTTTGTCTTGTGTGTAGGATTAGTATTATCGAAACTAACGCTTATGTTCCGTTCTTTTTGCTATGCTCATGAGGCTAGGGGCCTAAGGGGTATCGTTTTTCTGTGGTAATGGAGGCGGAGCTTTTTCCGCGGAAGATTCCTTTAATAGTAAGTACACCAAGTAGCACTGCAAAGCCGGTCTTCTTCTGAGCAATGATGGGGATCTTTTAAGCTGTCATGAGAAATTCAAGAAATCTTACATCCTGTCTCCTTTCTTCGATGTAATGGAAGTAAGAGGTATTGAAACAGTTGGGTTGGGTGTCTTCTAGAAGAGCCAGAGAGGGTTTTTAAGGACTTTCTCCTAGCAAAAAGTGTACTCACCTTGGAGCAGCACATATCCTATCAGTGGCTATCAGGATTGAATTCAATTAGCTGGTTTCACAAGAATGCTGGGTTGTGAACAAAGCTTCCGCCACAGGCGGTACTCGAACCCGCACTTCTCGCTTA